TATAATCATGTTCTTTAGCAAATAGTTTAAGCTCGTTCATTATCGTGGAGTACATGTGAACTTCTTTCTTAAAAGTTATATTTACATTAAACGCTTCTTTCAAAAACTCGTTAGGGGGCAACATTTTTGCCACAACATTCAACACTTCGTCCTTGCAAGTTTCTTCGTTCTCTATAAATATTTTCACATCCAACACCAAACTTCCATAGTTTTCACCGTTAGATGTAAGTGAAACCGCTTCATAATTCTTAAATTTCTGGCATGGTTTCAGAAAAGTTCTCGCTATTGTCTCCAAGTCGTTAATTTTGTACGTTTTCATTATCAATTTCTTCTTGTACCTAAAAAATAGAAACTTCGCATGGGTTTAGTTAAAACTGACAAAGAAAAACCCCTTTTGTTCAAATAAACAGCTGATTACGATAAATGTACAAATTGTAAATGTATACAATTTATTATACTGGCTTACCTATTCACATTTCCAGATCAACTAAACATAGTTCAATTGAATTGTATTGTATAATAGACACCAGGGATTCAAAGTTCAATTCTATCGCTACCATTAACCAATAGGCAACTCCAATTTCATATCATTAATGTGCGACATTACAGCATCTTTGTTGTAATAAATTATATAATTACAAGTCAGTATAGAGTGGTACTTCACTTAATAGTTTCTAAACAAAAGTTGTAATTGAAAACATTACACATGAATAATAATATTTAAATTTAAGATTACAAAACAAAGTTAAATATTCATACTCGTATCTAACTGTAATGACTAAAGCGGTGTGTTCCAATTATGTTATCAGTGATTTTGTTGCAGTTTTAATTTTATATTTTATTTCTATCAATCATTATTATTCACCAACTTGGAATATAATTCATTTTATTACATTAAAGGAATTACCTACAATTTAAATATGCCTTAAGATAAGGTTACAAGCAATAGGTTTGTAAATTGTTATTCCACTAGTGCCTATCATATAATTGCAGCTTCGGCACAATTACAATAGAGAGGGTCAGTATCAGTCTTCGGCGGTCGCAGTCACCCTCAGCTAATTGTATGCCATTCTGTCCACATTTCGTAGATTCTAGGAACTCAATTGCTCGAGGCGGGGTATTGTCCTGGTGGGTTTTTGCCCACACTCAGTTCTGCGAACTTGCTTTCCATTGTTTGGATTTGGTAGGCATTGGTGGTGGTATTACAATAAATTCATTTTCATCACATTTTTCGGAAGTTATATTTTGTCCTTCGAGTTGTTCATTTACGTTTGTTGTCCCTTTATTGTTATCCGTTTATTTTAATATTTAGTAAATTTGTTGTAAATGAAGTTTTTGTATATAGTGTTTATTATCGTTGTTTTATTCACTATTGCAAAAATAACATTGAGAAAACTGCTCGTGAAGTCACGGCATCCAGATTTTATTAAAGTTAATAGCGAAAGAGAACATTTGCACATTAGGTTACTAGACTGTGTTTGGGTACTTTTTTTTAATGCACGAATATAAATGTCCTTAATTTTTCTGTTTTCTGATTTTTAATCATAATCATAGTTCCTGGATTTTATGCGGTGTTAAAGATTTATCACAAATATTGATGGCGAGGCCACGACAGGTAACTGCTATCTCAAATTTGTGAAAAGATACCCAAAGTCTAACAATGTCGTAAGCTCATCGACTTTTCATCAGAATCGTAATACTGAAGTTATATAAGAGGTACTAAATGTTTATCAGTTTATCACATATAGTGTGGGCGAAGTCACTCCTGGTAACAGTTATCTCAAAATGGTCGAATGAGGTGACATTCGAAAGAAATCGAAATTCTAAGAATAACGTATATTTTCTGATTTTTAGTAGTTCTTGAATTTTAGGCAGTGTTAAATATTTATCACAAATATTAATGGCGAAGCCACAACGGGTAACTGCTATCTCAAATTTGTGGAAAGATGCCCAAATTCTAAGAATATCGTAAGCTCATCCATTTTTCATCAGAATCGTAGTACTTGAGTTATAAAGGAGGTACTAAATGTTTATCAGTTTATCACATATAGTGTGGGCGAAGGATATACCTACATCAAAAATGTATTTTATTAAGGACATAAGAAAAAGTTTATGATAAATAAATAGGGAGAAACTTTACCTTCATTGAAAAGAGATTGTTCAATAAAGGTAAAAAAATGAGAAAACTAAATTTAGAGTTAGGTACGTCATCGCACATACAAACATGCGTGCACGTACAAAGAACATGCAGGTGCAGTAGATAGATCGATTCATTACGATCTCTTCTCTACTCAGTGTCGGGTGACGTTATCATTAGCAAGACAACTTGCTCGCACTAGCAGAGGTGCATTGGTTACGCGACTAGCTCTTCACTTGGGAATTATTAACATTAAAACCATTAAAAGGACTATTTAAAACATAAAAAGCGCTCTAAGTAGATGCGATAATTTTTTTACTAACACGAAATTTCTTAATTTATTGTAAAATAAAAAATAATTTACTAAGTATTTACTTAGTTAGAGAAATAAATCGCGATAGGTCCCAACCACAAAGTAGGTGAAGAGGTCATTCACCTACTTCAGCTAAATAGCTGTCATCGATTTAAATCATTTTATTGTAAGAAAGAGCAAGTTTTCTCTTTCCTACTTATCCTTACCATCATAGTTTTCTCTATTTTATTTAAATTTAAAAGATGCTTTCATAATTGTGACTCATACTACAAAAAACTTGTTAGACCCATTGCTTGTCAGAACAAATATTAAAAATGGCCGCTAGCCTTTGCTTGTAAATTTCCGAATGCCTCTCCTGAAGAAAATCGTCAGGTTCAATTTCTTCCATATCCTTCACTTCTCCTTTCTCTGCATGTATCACATTTAACATCGTCGATGCGTGAACAATTTCAGTTGCCTTTGCAATGATCTTCATCTGTTCACGAAATCCCTCCGATCTGTAAGGTTTTGTGTCACAATTAAAATGTTGGAGAATATTACAAAGTTGGTTTCTATAAATTTCTACTAGTTCATCAAAATGTTCTCTCAATACAGAAATGTGGGTGCTGGTAAATAGAAAGAAAACCACGTCTCGAGTTAGGTTTCCGTAACAGTATATTTGAAAATCAACAAATTTGCATTTCTTTGGTGTCATCTTGTCTTTATCATATTTTAACATTATATTATTGATCCACAAATCAATATGGCATATGGTTCCGTATGAATCTCCTAAAGAGCAATTTTTATCGAACATACCCTCTGCGTCATTTAAAAGCTTCAAGAACCGACTAATTAGCTTTTCACACCTTTTATCAAATTCAGCCGCGATATCCAATTGTCTTCTGAAAAGACAATCGATATACTCTCTTTCTTTTTCAAAATCCATGCCAGGTTCCAAATATTTCATCAATTTATTCTCAAACCTGTCAGGATAAAGTAACTTTAAAGACAGGGGAATTCCATGGAATTGAGCCAAAGTTTTAAGGATCAACTTTGAAGCTTCGAGATCGAATCCACTGAAACGACTAACACTTACGAATTCAGATAATTTTAAATTTTCTAGAATAATTATTGCGTCGTCGTTTACATCAACAGCGTTAGGATTCAAACTAACTCTTGATCCAAAGTATTCTGCTAAGAATTCAAGTGATTCCTTATAATCATGTTCTTTAGCAAATAGTTTAAGCTCGTTCATTATCGTGGAGTACATGTGAACTTCTTTCTTAAAAGTTATATTTACATTAAACGCTTCTTTCAAAAACTCGTTAGGGGGCAACATTTTTGCCACAACATTCAACACTTCGTCCTTGCAAGTTTCTTCGTTCTCTATAAATATTTTCACATCCAACACCAAACTTCCATAGTTTTCACCGTTAGATGTAAGTGAAACCGCTTCATAATTCTTAAATTTCTGGCATGGTTTCAGAAAAGTTCTCGCTATTGTCTCCAAGTCGTTAATTTTGTACGTTTTCATTATCAATTTCTTCTTGTACCTAAAAAATAGAAACTTCGCATGGGTTTAGTTAAAACTGACAAAGAAAAACCCCTTTTGTTCAAATAAACAGCTGATTACGATAAATGTACAAATTGTAAATGTATACAATTTATTATACTGGCTTACCTATTCACATTTCCAGATCAACTAAACATAGTTCAATTGAATTGTATTGTATAATAGACACCAGGGATTCAAAGTTCAATTCTATCGCTACCATTAACCAATAGGCAACTCCAATTTCATATCATTAATGTGCGACATTACAGCATCTTTGTTGTAATAAATTATATAATTACAAGTCAGTATAGAGTGGTACTTCACTTAATAGTTTCTAAACAAAAGTTGTAATTGAAAACATTACACATGAATAATAATATTTAAATTTAAGATTACAAAACAAAGTTAAATATTCATACTCGTATCTAACTGTAATGACTAAAGCGGTGTGTTCCAATTATGTTATCAGTGATTTTGTTGCAGTTTTAATTTTATATTTTATTTCTATCAATCATTATTATTCACCAACTTGGAATATAATTCATTTTATTACATTAAAGGAATTACCTACAATTTAAATATGCCTTAAGATAAGGTTACAAGCAATAGGTTTGTAAATTGTTATTCCACTAGTGCCTATCATATAATTGCAGCGTCGGCACAATTACAATAGAGAGGGTCAGTATCAGTCTTCGGCGGTCGCAGTCACCCTCAGCTAATTGTATGCCATTCTGTCCACATTTCGTAGATTCTAGGAACTCAATTGCTCGAGGCGGGGTATTGTCCTGGTGGGTTTTTGCCCACACTCAGTTCTGCGAACTTGCTTTCCATTGTTTGGATTTGGTAGGCATTGGTGGTGGTATTACAATAAATTCATTTTCATCACATTTTTCGGAAGTTATATTTTGTCCTTCGAGTTGTTCATTTACGTTTGTTGTCCCTTTATTGTTATCCGTTTATTTTAATATTTAGTAAATTTGTTGTAAATGAAGTTTTTGTATATAGTGTTTATTATCGTTGTTTTATTCACTATTGCAAAAATAACATTGAGAAAACTGCTCGTGAAGTCACGGCATCCAGATTTTATTAAAGTTAATAGCGAAAGAGAACATTTGCACATTAGGTTACTAGACTGTGTTTGGGTACTTTTTTTTAATGCACGAATATAAATGTCCTTAATTTTTCTGTTTTCTGATTTTTAATCATAATCATAGTTCCTGGATTTTATGCGGTGTTAAAGATTTATCACAAATATTGATGGCGAGGCCACGACAGGTAACTGCTATCTCAAATTTGTGAAAAGATACCCAAAGTCTAACAATGTCGTAAGCTCATCGACTTTTCATCAGAATCGTAATACTGAAGTTATATAAGAGGTACTAAATGTTTATCAGTTTATCACATATAGTGTGGGCGAAGTCACTCCTGGTAACAGTTATCTCAAAATGGTCGAATGAGGTGACATTCGAAAGAAATCGAAATTCTAAGAATAACGTATATTTTCTGATTTTTAGTAGTTCTTGAATTTTAGGCAGTGTTAAATATTTATCACAAATATTAATGGCGAAGCCACAACGGGTAACTGCTATCTCAAATTTGTGGAAAGATGCCCAAATTCTAAGAATATCGTAAGCTCATCCATTTTTCATCAGAATCGTAGTACTTGAGTTATAAAGCAGTATTAAAGGTTTATTACATATACTGTGGGCGAAACCATTACGGGTAACGGCTATCTCAAATAAAATCGAATGAGGTGACATTAGAAAGAAGTCGAAATTCTAAGAATAACGCATATTTTCTGATTTTTAATCATAATCATAGTTCCTGGATTTTATGCGGTGTTAAATATTTATCACAAATATTGATGGCGAAGCTACAACGGGTAACTGCTATAAAAGATACCCAAAGTATGTCGTAAGCTCATCGACTTTTCATTAGAATCATAGTTATTGTGTTATAAGCGGCATTAAATGTTAATCACATATACTGCAGGCGAAGCTACTACGGGTAACTACTATCTCAAATTTGTTAAAAGATATCCAAAGTATGTCGTAAGCTCATCGACTTTTCATTAGAACCATAGTTATTGTGTTATAAGCGGCATTAAATGTTAATTACATATACTGCAGGCGAAGCTACTACGGGTAACTACTCTATCAAATATAAATATATTCGAGTGAGTTGTTATTTGAAAGAAATCGGAATTCTAAGAATGACGTTTGTTTTCTGATGTTTAATCATAATCAGTAGTTCCTGAATTTTAAGCGGTTTTAAATGTCTACCACATATATTGATGGCGAAGCCACAACGGGTAACTGCTATCTCAAATTTGTCGAAAGATATCCAATTTTTAAAAATTTTGTGAGCTCATCGATTTTTTATCAGAATCATAGTTCTTGAATTATAAGCGGTATTAAATGTTAATCACATTTACTGCGGGCGAAATAAGGTGTCATTCGAAAGAAACCGAAATTCGAAGAATACCGTATGTTTTCTGATTTTGAATCAAAATCAGAGTTCCTGAATTTTAAGCGATGTTAAAGTGTATCACATATTGATAGCGAAGCCACTACGGGTAACTACTATCTCACATATGTATAGTCGAGTGAGTTTTAACATTCGAAGGATTCGGAATTCTAAGAATGACGTATGTTTTCTGATTTTTAATCAGAATCATAGTTCTTGAATTTTATGCGGTGTTAAGCGTTCATCACATATATTGACGACAAAGTCACGTAGGGTCTCAAATGTAAGTATGTTCGAGCGAGTTATCATTAGAAAGATATGGTAATTGTAGGAATGACGTATGTTATCGATTTTACATACGCTAGGGGCGAAGGCACGACGGGTAATTGTTGTCTCTAATATAGTCGAGTATGGTCTCATTCGAGAGATTGAAATTCTAAGGATGATATAGATTCTTTGATTTTTTATCAGAATCATATTTCTCGAGTTATAAGCAGTAACAGATGTCGTTAGGGATATAAGGTAGATAGGTACAGTTTACTTTCTTGGAAGGCATTGTAATTTGACATTTAAACATTCTCGAAATTAAGGCGATAATTAATTAGAAAAATCATTTTCAAGCATTTCTTTAAAATTCATTTATTAAAAACAAGTGCAGATAACAATCAAATCCAATGAAGTTTATCAAATAACAATATATTATCCACAAGTCTTTTGTTGTACGTTTCCGAACCTTTATAATCCTCCAACGAATCGTCTTTGAAATCTTCCAGGGCTGGTAGTGCTCCTTCTTCGGCGAGAATAGGTTGCAACCATCTACACGAATGGGCAATTTCGGTTAATTTAGCAACTTTTGCCAATTCCTTTTGAAAACGATCAAAACTATATTGCGTCGTATCGCATCCTAAACTTTTCAAAATTTCAGAAAATTCTGAATGGTAATCTCGTAGTAATTGGTCGAAATGCTCTCTTAAAACTGAAGGCGAGACACTGGTGAATAAAAAGAACACGACATCCCTTGCCAAACTGGCAAAGCACATTACTTGAAAGTCAACGAATTTCGCATTTATCGGTTTTTGTTCTTCATATTTTATTAAGATATTGTTAATCCACAAATCTATATGGCACAGTGTTCCAAAAGGATCTTCAAAATCACAATTGGAGTCAAAAAATAGTAGATCCGGTGATTCGGCAATTTCTATTAGTTTACTTTTTAATTCTGCACATCTTGGATTTAGACTTGCGGCATGTTCTACTTGTTCTGTGAACAAGTTTTTACCAAAAATTTCCCTTTCTTTTAGCGAATCCATCCCTGGTCCCATATGTGGCATTAGTACCTCTTTAAATTTTCTAGGTTTCTGTAATTTATACGCTAAAGGCACTGCGTGAAATAGCGCCAAATTTTTTAAAATAATTTTAGTTGTATCTAAATCAAACCCATTAAAACGATTCAGAGTTACGTAGCCCTTGGTTTTTAGATTTTCCAGAATTAATACTGCATCAAAATCAACTTCAGCTGCATTCGGATTCAGGCTAATTCTAGAACCGTAGTATTCTGCTATATATGGAATATCTCTTTCACAACCAGTTTCTTTTAAGAATGATTTTATTTCTTGTATAACGTCTGTGTACATTGCAACCTCCTTTCTGAACGAAACGTTAACATTAAAAATCTCTCTTATAAGTTCGTTAGTTGGTATCATTTTCGCTACTGCGTCTACCTTTTCTTCTTTATTGGTTTTAATGTCTTTTAGAACTAGCGTTAGGCCTAACATTAAGCTACCAAAATTTTCTCCGGCACTTGTAAACGGAACAGCGTCATAACTGACCAATTTCTTATTTTTTTTCAAAATTGGATCTAGAACGTTTTCCAAATCGTTGATTGTATATTTCTTCATTTTTTTGCGAGTCGAACTACAAATAATTAACAGTTATAAAAAGATAATATTTCTTCCTCGACTACAAAAATTATTTTAAAGATATTAATTAATTATTAAAGGACTGAGGATACTATCTGTAGAAAATGGACTTTTTTGACTATTTGGAGATACTAAAAATAACTTCATTAGTTTGAAACAATATCGTATCTGGCCTCAGAATTGCCACAGCACGCTTGGATTTTGAAATATCTTAACTGGAATTTTCAAAAAATTCAATTTTGATCTTTCTGCAAGCATTGCTACGTGACATAATAAAATCAAAAGTTAACCGAGAGAGTAGTTATCTTCGTTTTATCTTTTATCGCTGAATTAGAATATCGCTTTATAATTGTCTTAGTAGGTACATTAAGATTATGATACACCCTAACCTGTAAATTCAAATGATAATAATTTAAGTTGCTTGGTTTTGAGCACTATAGCTTTTGTAAGGCAATTGAAGAATAATTGTTTCTTTTCTGATTCTTTTTTCAGTAATTCTTGCGGATTTAAAACAAAAAACACTAAGAGGTATGTTAATTATTTTCGGTGAATTGGCCTAAATTCTATCAATAGCATAGTTAGGATTAACCTTGTAATAATAGCGCAATAAACGATAGCTAGAAATGAAAATCTTAGATATCTATATGTACACTAGAAATAAATTATTTTTGGGAAAAACTCATATTGCGATTATATTGCAATTAAAATGACGTCATAGATAATTTCTGATTTTTAATATTAATGAAGATAAGGTCTCTTTTATGGAAATAGATAGATTTTTTAATTATTTCTAAAATCTATTACTAGTCAAATATTTTTCTACAGGAAGTGAATCTACTCCTTTATCCTTTAGTATCAGGAATAATTTTACTAAACTATTAATAAGATGCAAATTAATAAATTATATTCTACGATATATGATGAGGATAGAAAGAATTCCTTAAACTTATAGCATATGGCATTTGAATATAAACAAAGTTGCAGTATCACTACTTACATTGAAAAGGGTTCAGATGATACTATTGCTTGATTTTTTTGTCATTTCACTACACGCAAATTAACGAAGAAAAGTATTATCAATAGACTCAAGTTTTAGAGATAATTCGTATCATTAAAACAAGTCATTGTATAAAATTTTGATAACATTTACAAATGATTATTATTATTATGTTAAAATTACGCTTCAACAAAATAAATGAATGTACACAGTTCAACTCAAAAATATTATGAATGTATTTAAAAATAGCATAGATGAGGTTTTCGCTTGTTGCAAAACTACGTTTTTAGGACACAGTAGAAATACTATAATAAGTTACAAAAACTTTTATTAATAGAAAAATCTACAATAATTATTTATTCTCACTGTGGCTTCATCTGGCAGAAAGAATGACTTTTCTTTTTTTGTGAGTTTTTTTATACGAAATATAATTCTTTGTTTCTTAGGTATCCCGCTTTACCCCTCCCCTCCCTTTCCCTGTTTTCATAAATAAACAGATAAAGTGGGTAGTCACAGGTAATATGTAACAATATCTTATGATATTTCCTATAAAATTAGCTATTGTGGATATTAGTGAGAACACCAAAACAGTCATTTATCCAACGTTTCTCCAACAGCTGTGATTGGAGTCCTCAAGGAACGTATGGAGGTTGTAAAGTCCTTCGCTACTTTCCCTGAGGATGCCAACCAACAGCTTTTGGCGAAACGTTGGGCAAACGATTATATCAGTGTTCTTACCGAAGTAAAAGAATCAATCTTACAATTAGACCACAGCCATCATGCTCGAATATCCAACACTATTTCAAATTAATTTTAGTAATGTCTGTTTTGCTGTAATTTTATCTATAACGCCCTCTACACAATTATTGTGTCACAAGCATCGCAAAAGCTTTTTCAATTCAGAAAATAGAATGTTAGTGGGCACTTCACAAGAATTTTATTGTTCAATGAATAAAATTACAAAACGCGGTTTACATATATAAAAAGGTATAACCAATAATTATTATTTATTACAAAGATCACAAGAATCTTTGATAACGTACATAAGATCGATTCCTCTTCCAAAGACTGCCTCCAGGATGTCGTTCAATACTGTTTTTATTTCTTCCCTCATTACACTGCTACTGGAAGGGAATTGTAGGAGTTCTTCTCGAAGTTTTTCAAAATCGACGGCATCAATGGGTACGCAACCAGTTATTTTATCTTTGATCAGGGATAAACTATCTTCCGTCTTTAAATATTTGGCTGGAACTTCTATTATCAATTCGGTTATTATTTCCGCTATTATATGATGGGGTTCCCCATCTATTAAAGCAACTTCTTCTATAACTTCGAGGATCGTTTCCTGTGCACAGACCATAAGATCCTCTTCCGTGATCTGCAAAATGATTGGCGATGAGTTTGACGAACTTTTAAAACAATATTGAGTTGATTGAAACCTCTGGTTCTTGTAAAGAATATAACTTTTCTGCAGCGTTCTCAACCAATTGAAGATTTTCTTCTGATATCGGAATCGGCAAGGAGTCAATGATATCATCAATTATTTCGGCGACAGTTGTTCGTTCCATGGCCTTCACCCATATTTCGTCTATTATGCTAACCAAGTCTAACTGGATATCCATTTTTCCCAACATCTCAGTAATTATTGTTCTAACTTCCTCAGATGCTGTAGTTGCTAACCTAAAGAATCATTTGTAAGATGTGAATGTAGAAATACGGATCATGAAACTAAAACCGGGAATGTCTCTAAACCCAAATGTTGCGACTGCCCCTTTTCCTTTCACTTCAACCCATCATTATGTTTAGTAGTGTCTTTTAAAAATTTTGTCCCAGAATTATCGTAGAAAACAAATAAACCAAATTGATAGCATTATTTCAATTTTCAAGTAGAGATTCCATATTTTTGATGCATTGGGACAATTCCCTAGTCAAAAAATTCAAAGTAGTGCTCTCAAAAATGCTAAAAAGTATTTTTTTGCAGTTCTGAGAGGTCAAAGGAAGACTGAGTGTCACAAATTCAGAAATTATTTCCCTGTCTTATTTTTTCGATCACTGATTCTGTTGGCCGTTGCAGTATATCATGTAATCGCTTGGTTTATAAACCTTACACAAATTCTTGCGTTACTTCTTCCTCCTCTCCTTCTTCGTCGGTCAGTTTGGCAAATAGTTCTTCCAACATTTCTTCTTCCGTCTTTTGAACTGGTTGACGTGGATGCCGTTTCAGAAATGCTTCAAAGTCCAGCAGGCTTTCTTCTTCTTCTATCTGAATGCAAATATCTTCTATCCATCTTTTCGGCTTTTCGGGCATTGACTCCAATCCCTTTGTTTTCAACCTCTTAATTTCTTGCTCCAGTTCCTTAAAATTGTTATAAGAAAATATCTTTACAAGTTTGAAAATTTTGAAAGCTGTTTCAAAATCATGAGGAGAAGTTTTACCTTCAGATGTTCCTGTTGACTCTTTATTATATTGTTTAGTTTTGTCAGGTCCGCTTTATAGTTTCCTGCTATATCGGCGACAGATTCCAATTGAGCTTGTCTTCTAGGTTGTTGCACCAGAAACTTTGACAGTTCAGTTTTTTCTTTATTCAGTGCAGCCAGAAGTTCCAATCGCCCAGAATTGCTATTTATTATTTCGGCCAGTTGTTCTTGTTTCCTTGCTAATTTATCCTGAAAATAATTTCTTCTAACATTTGTCCCAATGTTACTTTACCTGTTAGTTACCCTCCAGATTCTTAATTCATGTTCGTAAATTTTTCTGACATCGGTCCAGGACATTCTCAGTTCCAGTACCATTTTTCTCAGCATGGCTTCTTCTAATTCGTTAATATTTACTTCTTTTCCGAATTTGATTTTCATAAGTTCTACTCCATCTTTTTTAAGTTTTCTTATTTGTTCTTCCATAAATTTGCAATCAGTTCTCATTCTTGTTAAATGGGTCAGATTGACTCTGAAAATTTCAATTAATAGATTAACTTCAATATTATCGTGACCCGCTTACTTTCGTTTAGCTTGTTGTTGTAAAGTTTCTTGATGAAGTTGTCCAACTCTTTTGTACATTCTACTGACAACGTATTTATCGAAAATTACAGTGTCGGAAATTTTAATTTTTGGGTTCTCTTTCGTCAAGTGTTGCAACTGATGGAATTTCATAATGGCAACACATGTGACAGCGTTCAACTTTTTCTGTTTCTCTCTCTGTAAAATCATTAGCATATTCTCGAGATTGAAACACTTAAAAAAACATCAACGAATTTTACCAAATACATTTCTAATTCCTCTTTCGCTTGATTCATTTTGTTTTGGGCTACTTTGAGCTTCTTATTTGCATCGTCTATTTCTTTATTTGTTACGGTGATTGCATCGTGAAGAACCATTAGCTTCTGTTCAACGTCCCATCTAAAATATTGTTAAAGACAATTAAGAATTATAAAATAATTCGAAATGGTCTGTATTCTGTATACAGTAATCCTAAAATGTAGCATCGTGCTACAGATGGCGTTTACTGCGCCATTTGTAGTATTTTCTAAAATTAAGAATTATGTTTATATTAATTTTCTTTGACAATACTTTTACACTAAATGTTTTCACGGTTAGTAAAGTATAAATGTTTGGTTTTCGCCATAATCGTAACTTTATAATATTATAAATGCATGATCCTTGATATGTATTTAGGACATCAACACGAGTGAAGCCGCAAGAGGTCAAATGATTTATTAATTTTTATGTCAAATTGAAACTTTTTGGAATAATATGTTGTGATAGACGTTTTAATAATTTTATACGATTTGTTTCCTTATGAATTAACTACAATAGATAGTCTTTAACTAAATTCTTCGTAAAATTGTGACATAAAAGCGACATTAATAATAATTAAATATAAAGGCAATAAGGGAAGCGCTTCAGTGCCCTTATGAATGAAACTGTGGAATAAATAAAAAAATTGAAAAGAAAAGTCTAACAATTTCATATGGGATTGGACGAAATCTAATATTTATAGTTCGACAATTAAAATGGCTTATTCCTAAATAATAGTATAATATAAAAAATGCGGGTTTGTTGTGCTTTTTATTATTTATAAAAGTAACATGTCGGTGCATTTTTAATGACTTGCAATGCTTACAATTATTATCCGTCACATCGTCTTGTTTAACGAGAAAACGAATAAATAGTGTTTGTGGTAATTATATAGATATATGTACAAATATGTGCATTATTACATGCTGCATTTACTCATATTACCTAACAAAGTACAAATAAAGGTTAAATCCATTTTCTGGCGTAAAGTTTATTAATTGTATAAGCAACCTGTTCACGATATAAATCGGATTCTACGTCGTTTGACAGTAAATTATTCATGTCATAATCTTTCAATTCGTTCGCTTCTCCTCTTGATGCGAAAATAGGCTTTAACATAACCATGAGATGATAAAATTCATCTTCTTGTACGACTGTTTTTATCTCCTCCAGGAATAATTCGTAAGAAAATGAGGTCGTATCAACACTAAACATTTCGAGAACTTCCATGAGTGTGTTAAAATAATGTCTGCATAGGGTTTCAAAATGATCTTCCTTAACACTTCTTTTTGTACTCGACATTAAGAAGAAGAAGACGTCTTTTGCTGGAGACCCATACTGGGTTATTTGAAAGTCTAGTACTTTACACTGTACGAATGAACCCTCTCCACTCCTTTTGACCATTATATTGTTCACCCAGAAGTCGTTGTGACACATGGTGGCAAATATTTCGTTAGGCTTTGGTGGACTGTATCTAATTTTCATGGACTTCATCAGTTTTTCGTAGATTTCTTTTGATTTCTTTGCGAGGGAGCTATCAGCTGCGATACCAGCATTTATTATATCGTCCAAAAGCTTTTTCATTGCTTCCGTGTTAAGTGGTATTTCCGTGAATGGGTACTCCAAAGCCGGCATGACAATTTTTTGAAATTCTTCGGGTTTTTTCGTTTTGAAAGCGAGAACGGTTCCATGTAGTTTGGCTAAACAATCCAATATTACGATTGATGTTTCTAAATCGAATCCTACCAGTCTGTCTTCGTTTCTAAAACCACTAACTTTCAAGTTTTCCAACAAAAATATCGCATCATTATCTGCCTCTTCAGAGTGAACTTGTAAAGTTAATCTTCCTCCGTAATACTTGGGAACAAATGTTAGTAAATCGTCGACTCCATTCTCATTTTGAAATCTTCGTAACGCTGGAAGCACTTCCTGGTAAAACTTCACTTCCTTACGAAATGTTACAGGAGTATTAAATAGTTTCTTAATAAATTCACTTTCTGGAGCTCTTTTTGCTACCACCTTCGTTTCTTTTATTCTGTTCGTACTTTTATCTTGTAATTGTAGAGTAATAAGCTGGACTTCACTGCCATAATTATCCCCTGCGGATGTTAAAGGTTCGATTGTATAACTTAACAAAGAATTTGATTTTCTGATTTCTTCCGGTAGAATGTCCTCCAGTTTTGAAATTTCATTCATTTTAATTCTTGTAGTCCACTATAAAATAGAAATACATTTCCTAAATTCAAAAAACTATCCAGAACTGAAACAGTTTTCCGATTTCACAATTAGTTAAATATTATAAAAAGTATTTTTTCAGTATAATAATCTTAGAACACAGATTGCAAATGAATATCAAAACAATTATGCATTCACTTACACAGTCTATGTCAAGCTGATGCAACGATATTTATCAATCTGAAAAGTAATTTCTTCATTACACAAGTAGCACACTACACTCTGCTAATAAATTGCGTTTCAGTTCTAATGATTGTTTAATTGCTTCCCAGTTGAACAATTGTAACTATGTAATAAGTATTGCATTGATAATTTACTAATAATTTTGCATGTTTACGATAGATATCGGAAATCGTGTCAAAAATAAGCATTCTTGATTATAAGCAGTTTGAAAATATCAATCTTTTTAACGGTTTTCATTGATAAGGTTCGATAACTGTTGAATAATATAGCTAGTTTTCCGTTAGTTGACCTTGCACGTAGCCAGTTAGAATCAATTTTCAATTTTCTGCTTCACAAGATTTTACTTTAAAAATTAATTGCTCTGTTGCAGTCAAAATTTCAAATTTATTTGAAAATTCACAGCCAAAGTAGTTTAAATGGCTTCAAGAGTTTCAGCAAAGATTTAGTTGATATCCTAGATATAATTCAATCCCGTGCTGTTATACTTTGAAGTAGTAATTAATGATGAAATTAAAAGGTTTTTGAAAGATAACAGTTGATATAATAGCGAAACGGCATCGATACAAAGTAATCGCGGTTAATAATGAAGCAAAATGTAGGAAAAGATGTAGATAAGGTGATCCTAGTAATATTACTTACTGTGTATGAATTTTTTAAAATTTAAATTGAGTTTTTCCTTTAGGCATCCTTGATAACAATCGATATAAAAAGTGTAATGGCCGACAATGACAATAATTAAGAAAGCATAATGGCCGACAACGACAACAATCAAAAAAGTATAATGGCCGATGACGGCAACAATTAAGAAAGCATAATGGCCGACAACGGCAACAATATGACAACAATTAAAATGTGTGATGGCCGACAGAAACAATTATTCCGTAACGAGCAGCTACTGTGGCGTTCATAACCTAAGTAATTCTCTTTTAGAACTTGAAATTGGGTTTTATGCATAATGGACTGTTCATTTTAGTAATGCAGGCTTAGCTATCATATACTGTAGTTTTTAAATTATTTATTTAATTTTCATTGTTGTTTTAATTATTGTATCTTCAGTCTTTTTTACACCCATGTAACGTAAGACTTGTTCAGACTAATAGGGCATTTTAGGAATATCCAGTTTAGTTAACGTTACAAATAAACCTAAATATACTTGGGTAAATAGGAGCTATTAGAAAAATAAATCGTAACACTATGCAATGGTTGGTTAGCATTGGTCCCCGCGTAAATACAAATGTCAAACAGATAGGTATTCGTAATTTACTTACCTCTTATTTCTAAGGTTAAATGTGAGATCATAAAGTGCTTTATCACATCCTTTTGGACAGACATTTTCATCCAAACGAATTATTCCAAAATCTTTAGAATCCACGCTTGCAGCTTCATCTTCTTCGCTTTCAGAGCTTTCTGAACTTGAAGATGAAGATGATGATTCTGTAAAAAAAATTTTTTGAGTGGTATTGTGCTTGCCTATATCAACAAAATTACTTACCATCGGGGTCTTTTATCTTTGGAGGTTTGTACTTTCTTTTAAAAATTCTCCTTAGGAAGGAGTAAAACTTGTTTTCTGTAGTAACATTAGAGAAGAATTCATGAGTAAGATCTCTTTGCATTAACTCTAACTGCGTGACTTCGGATTTTTGGCGTCCAAGGCGATTGTTTATTCTTATGATAGAGTCTCGAATATCGAAAAATTCATTTATTTTCACATTAGCTTTATCCATCAGTTCGTGTTCCATGTCTTCAGAATTTTTTAAAATTATCAATTCTTGATAAAGCGTTAACAAATGGAGATCGATAATGCCAGCATCGTAAACAACAGTAAGACGTTCAGTTGCCAAATCTTCTAGATCTGCATCAAAATTCTCAACCTTCTCACGCATTCCTATTATTATTCTCTCTTGCTGATAGAACTTTCTAAAAGATAGCTTTTATAGATTAGAAATGAGATGTTCACAACTTTTGTTTGTATTTCGATTAATAAAAATTAAGCACCTTATCATAATCTTAATCATTTCAGTAACAATATTTTTAATCCATTGTATTAAAAAAATGTTACATGATCTTATTACTGCTTGCAAACTTCGCAGAGGTAAACAGAACTTAATATTTACAAGAACGAATTTATATTTTTCGGTAGGTACATCAGGTTCATAGGTAACGTGAAGCTTGAATGATTTGTTTTGTTGCATATTCAATCATAAATTAAAAAAATTCCAAGGACGTATAAGCAGAGCCATATTTACTTTTAAAATATCGACTCTCCCCATTTTCACATCTCTTAAGAAAAAATTAAATAACTTGATGTAGCCAAGGATATTGCGCAACTTTAAATTCGGAAGCATTTCTAATATTTGCGGATATAAGTAAACTAACATAGGATATATAAAAAAACGTTTTACCTTTTACTAAAATCATAATCCCATTTGAATAAATTACCTGACTAAACGAGTACTCCTCATTTCTATTTCCCAAGGAGATTCTACTTCCTCACTACTTTGATTTATAAGTGTGTAATAATCAAGGTTAGCTGTTTCCCTAACTTTTTCGTAGGGAACTTTTTCAAAGAAGCTCAAATAAAATTCAGGGTGTCGTCTTATTTCTTGCGTGCTTCCTGCGCTATCATCATCACCTTTTTCCATGTTTGGCAAAGCTTCTTTCTCCAAAAGTTCCCACTGTGGTGATTCCAGTTTTTCCTCCACTATATCTCTATCTCGCATTCTTCTAGGAGTTTTTATTTTATAAGCCCTAACTTCCAGATGTTTTTCAGGAAAATCTTCGTCAGTCATACGTGGTATAGGAATTCCTTGACGACGCTCTGACACAGGAATTTCTCGATTTAACTGGGTCAGTTTAGTGTGAAATAGTTGGACACTATCACGAGCTTCTACCTTTTTGGCTCTAAGATCGTAAACTTTCTTGTTAAACTCATACCGGATTCTGTATTGCTACACCAATTCGATAATGATTATTACATTATTAGTAAAATTTACTGTTAGCAGGTGTATGGACTTGCAACTTACTGAACGAGTTCTTGTGCCTATTCTCTCCTTCATATTTAGCATTTCTTTAAACTTCTTCAGGGTGGTTGTTTGTTTTTCTTTCGGAAGTTTATATGTATCAGAAGTTTTTAGCGGGATATCCCCTATCGTGGCTTCAGCATGTTCTAGTTCTTTTTCGTCCTCGGGGGGATTTACATCGGGACTAGGTTTTTTGAAATTAAATAAATCCCACTAAAACAATATCGCTCAACTAATAGATACACGTGTATTACATTTTAGAATATAAAATTGTTGATAATCTATTTCAATACTGAATATATTTGATTTTAGATTTATCTTGTATGAATACGTTTTTCTTTGAATATGTTATTTTGTGTGATTCACCTAGATAACATTACAAGAATCTTTGAATTATAAATCTACAAATAAGCTTAAAATAAACCGCGAACTACTCGAATACATTTAAGACATCTGAACGGTACCTATATACATTCATTTACTGATTTGTAAAATGAACGCATCTAAAATTATCAAGTTTGTGTTGAAATCTGTTTGTCATCGGTTAACTAACCTCAATTAATCTCAAATGCTCAAATGTAAGTAAAAAATTGTGCAAAGCGTAAAATATAGCAAAATAAAAAAATAGAATGGCATCAAGTTCTGGCGGCTTATTTGGTTGGGAGCTATTGTATCGAAGTGTACAAAATGATATCAAAAATAGTCAAGACATTTTGGTCTGCTTCACTCACTTAGTTCTTATATCAAACGGATTCAAATGTATTGGATTGGGAGATTCGAAAATTTTGGAAGGAACAGAAACCAAAACGGAGACATTGCCTTCTGGTTGGAATGATAATTATGCTATTCGTTATGTTTACCAAGGTCGACTGTATAATTTACGGGCAACAAATGTTGACGATGCTATCATGATAAATTTGATAAGGGTTCAGGAACGAACAGTTTCAATGGTTCAGTTAAACAACAGAACTGTGGCCCAGACAAGTGGAACTCTTGAACAAATGATACCCAACCATACAGAATTGGAAGAGATGATTCGAAGACAGCTAATTGACAAGGTCACAGTTTCAACTAAACAGAAAGATGGAAGCAGTCAAACCCAAAATGAATCTGGCACTTCGACATCTGGAGTTGGACCTGATAGACCTTCTCCATTGCTTGAACGTACTCCTGAACGATTTAGCTATCCCTCTTTAATTGATCCGGTTAATAATGTAGGAAGATCTGATTTAGATCCTTTTGGAGGACAGTTTCCACCCTTGGGAAGAAATCCTCCAGCATTCCCCCTTCCTGGAGGTGGAGGTATAATTATTACATTGTTTTTTTAATAATTTGATGGTGTTATTTAAATTTATTACTCTAGGAATGCTTTTTGAACCACCTAGAGGAGGAGGTGGTCTAGGACCTCGACCGAACTTTGGAGTTCCTCCAGATTCACTACCACCAGGCGCAAGATTTGACCCTTTTAGGCCACCTGATCCTGAAAGACCACCTAGAAGAAATCCTGGTAATGATTTTCCACCCCCAGGATTCGATGATATGTACATGTAATAATCAATATATGACTGATCACATGTTAATGATTTTTATTACTTTTGGTTTAGTAAATTCTTTTGCATTTTATGTTGACGGTGTTATCTTTTATAAAAGCAACCTACCTCTTGTTTCCTTTTTTCCCATTTCGCTTTTCTAGCTCTATATTTGTTAAGAAGTCGTGTGAGTTTAGCCCCAAGTCTAAGTTGAATTGTTGATGGTGATAAACCAACTAAAAAGTATTCCAAGATTTTTTCTTTAACAGATTTCGTGGGTTTAACTTTCTCTGCTAGTACAAGGGCACGTTGAATAGGTCTAAACAAAATATTAACAGCCAAAAGAATTATATGGTAAAAGAAATATCATAAAATAAGCGACAAATTCCGAAAATCAATGAAATAATATAAATTGTTTGTGCAATACAGCCAGAAGTTTTTAGCCAAGGTTTGTTTATTTTTTGAAAATACCGCTCGCTCCATTCAAATTTTAATAAAAATTAATATTCGAAGTTTCCTTTTAAATAATCACAATATGCCTTAATAATGTACGTTACTTCGTCCTCTGAACGTTAGATGGCTCAGCTATGTCTTTTTGAATCTAATGTAAGGTAAATATAATGGAGCAAAACCTTGTTACATCTTCTTCACTGGATTTTGTTTTTGCAAATGAAGTGATGAATAGTTCTACATTTTAAGTAAAAGAATTTTTTTCATATTTATAGTATTACGCTCTAGTTTCAAAATTTGTCACTTGACACATTAAATTTTATTCCGTGATTACTTACTCGACTACCTTCCTTTCGTTAGCTAAATAAATAATATATTTATTATAAAAACTGCCCATGTGATATTAGGACTACTTGGGTAGTAAAACGGAACCCAGGTTTATGGTCCGTTGTATGTGACCTAGGACTTGGTTGGATTTTTTGTTTAACCAAAAACTAGCCTATTATTCTACTAAATGCGAAAGCAGGACGGAATAAATCCATCAATGAAAACATTTTTTATACAGATTGTAAATGCTTTGATTATGTTAAATTGGGAAGTAGATTTTGGATTCTGTAGGTAAATCGGTGTTATTTATTTTTAAAAGCTGCACTTAGCGTCATGGGTTTACCTTTTACTTCACTGTTAGTGAATGATAAATCATGTCAATTATGATGAAACAGGTTGAATTTCTGGATAGTCATGAACCAAAAACTCAACAAGTTTCATCTAATTAACGACTGTGAAAAGTCACGAGAAATTGTCCGTCAATTTTATAGAAAAAGAAAACGTTTCTACCTGCCTCTGAGTTCCTCTTCTATAATTTTTTCGTCGGTGATTTTGTGCAGTTCGTAATGAGCTTTAGTTAATTTTCTTTGTCTCAGAGTTTTTACAAGTTTGTTTGTGTTAATTCCTGTAACAGTTATCGGAATAAAGTCAAGCGGTTCCATAAAGTACTCCATCATTTTTCGCATTCCAACTTTGGACTTTTCAACCCTAAAGGCCAGCTTTCTTTTAACCAAATCAACTTTAGCTTGAAACGCACCATCTACTTCATTGGTAATTTTTGGACTTATTTCCAACTCTTTTCTGGGTATTATTTGGGACGGTAGCAAATTTTTATTTCTTTCTAGTAAATCATAAAATTCGACCTTTAATGTTTTGAGCCTTTCTATTAATACCCTCTTATGTTCATTAGCAACAGCAGCTACACGATCTTCTTCTTTCTTTACAATAGCTTGTTCTAAACTTAGCATATCATAACGTGCTTTATCAGATACTGTAGTCGTTATTATTTTAGACAGAAATGTTTTTCTTGGTATTTCTGTAATATAATTATCTTCTTCGGGATAAAATTTATAAGCAAATATATTTCCGTCGTAGCCACAAGTGAAGAAATATCTTTCGTCGTAACTGAAAGCCATCCTGGTAACTCTTCCATTGAAGTTGTCGTGCATAGATAGTTGCCAATAATCTGACAAGTCACGCCAATCATTTGGATTTACGCGATTTACTCTAATTGCTCCATCTTGCATTGCAAAAATGAGATATTCTTTACTGTAACTTAATTGAAACAATTCAACATTAATATTGGAGTTTCATAAAGAATTATTTTTATTATATACTTGTAAATAAAATTTTCTATCTCAATATCATCACCATCATAAATGATTTGAAATCTATAGGGTATTTGTTCCTTCTGATCGATGTAATATTCATAAATATAACCGGCGTCATAGCCTCCCATGGAAAGCCAGAAAGATCCTTCCTCTGTGTGCTGAATCCATATTATCCTATTGGGCACGTCAGGAATATGTAGAGGCTCTAGTACTTCCTCAGATGATGAATCAGCTGGAAGGTACAAACAATGTTACAACAATATAACAGCATCTGGGTAAATTATATCAAAAAGAACTGAATTTATGGTTTGACTCCCTATCAACCACAACCAATACCTAGAAAAACTTCTTCATCAATTTCAAGCCCGGGGTTTTCCTTTTTTACTTTTTCAAGTTCCTCCATTTTTTTTTCCAATTTCGCAGCTTTCTTAGCTTCTATCTCGGCAATTTTTATATCTCTTCGTATCTGAGCTTTATAAGTAGTGAACCTCTGATATTTCGGTTCCACATGCAATATGTACGTTATAGTGGTGTAATCTTGAGGCTCAGTTGGAAATTCCACCTGCATTATTTGACCATGAAGACATCCCACTATTACCGTGTTCTCCTTTAATTTTAAATATTTCAAAAAAGATCAATGTATTTCGTTCGCATTCATTGCATTGAATATAAAGTATGTTGCAGCAATAGTGATTGAGACGCCTGTTGAAGACTTAATAATAAAGTCAAAACGTTCTGAATCAACAAATTGATTTTATAACATTATTGTCCACTTACCTGCTACATACTTTATGTGTAATATTAATCACATTTCTGAAAAGTACCTCTGTAAGATGCCACGTTAAACATGTCACAGAATCTGGTGCGTTAATGTATCCTATTGGTATCAAAAGTGCATAGGTGTGTTTGCTGATGGTCAGTTGGTATATGAATATTGTTTTATCTTCTCCGCCAGTTATAAGATTACTGCCATCGCTGTTCAAAAGCATTTCGGTTATTGTTGATGTATGGGGTTTAGTAAACTAAAATATATTTATATATATAATATATCACAATCAATATCTTTTTGTTTTTGTTTATCCTTTTCGGTTAATTTAGAAATTCGAAAAAGGTTTTTAAAGGTGTATGTTTGGAGCGCGGCGTTGTACGGGTGCGAAACATGGACAGTGGGCGCAGCAGAAAAGAAAAGGTTAGAAGCCTTCGAAATGTGGTATTATAGGCGAATGATGAGGATAATGTGGGTAGAAAATGTTAGAAATGAAGAGGTATTAGAAAGAATGAGAGAACAGAGGACTCTATAGAAGTCAATAAAAAATAGGCGAGATAGGTTGGTAGGACACCTTCTCAGATCTAGTCAGAGACATATTAGAGGCGGAAACGGAAGTTAGGAGGGGTAGAGGTAGACCTAGATTAGATTACTGTTCGCAAATAGTTAAGGGTGTGGGTTGTTCTAGTTTTAAGGAAATGGGAAGTTTAGCTCAGGATAGGAAAGAGTGGAGGTACGTGTCCAACCAGTCTTAGGCCTGACGACCTTATGGTGGTGGTGCGGTATTACAAAAAATTTGGTAATTCTACCTGTATCATTTCTAGTGTAGTATCTTTCTCTTGTGGTTCTTCTGAAATCTGTAAAATTACATTTCTCAAACATCCATCATCAAATGCAAGAATTAATTGCTCGCCAGAATCTTCAACCTATAATAAAAGTAATTCGTTTGAAAAATGCAGATTGAGATGTAAGCAACATGCATTAATTGGTAACCAAATCATTCTATTCCCTTTGGCAGGAAATTTGTGGGTAAATATTGAAGTCTTTTTTAAATAGGCGTAGATATTCAGTTTTCCATCGAAGCCCAAAGTGGCCAAATATGGTCCATACGGACATGGCGCTAAATCCATAATCGGACCTCCATGTGTAAAATATAATTGTTCGGGAGGTAGTGGTGGTTCTGGACTTTCTACCCTTAAATCAACCCTCCAAATTCCGCCATTCCCATCCTACAAAACTCATACTGGTCAATTTGATTTCAAGCACAATTTCACTGTCATTTTGCATGTGTATAATTTCAGCTATCTGAGAAATATTATTTGAAATATGTAGGGGTTTAATGATTAACCGATCATTTAAGCACTATATCCTTAAAATTATTCATTAGATTTAAATAAAATAAAATATTTACTTGAGCATAGTATAAGCAGCAACTTTCATCGTTATTTTGTTTTTCAATCCACATGTACATTAAATTGGGAACATGTAGATCGAAAGATGGTTCCATTTCAACAACTCTGTCGGTATCAGGAGGATCTGCTTGATCTATTTGTGGATAATACCACAGTTTTACGTGACCGTCCATTGAAATGGAATAAATTTCTCCATTCATATGAAAAAATTGGACAACGGGAGCGTCGTGACAACGTATTCTACCTCTTCTCAAAACTTCAATCTTAATTAAACCACCTTCCCACAGAAGAATGTTGCCCCAATTACATCCAGATACCACCTAATGGTTAAATAATATTGGTAATAAAAAAGTATTGTTGAATTTTAAAAGTTTACAGACCTTTTCATCTTCCAACGGTAATATACCTATTATATCGGTGTATTCAGTTTTTCCAAATCTTCCCAATTCCCCCTGCAGTTTTAGGCCAGTAAATGTGGTTGCCATTTTCCAAAATTTTATATGGCTTGCTCCTAAAGTGAAACAAATGTATAAAAATATAGCTTCTTTTTAAAATTACTAATCCAAATTAAAACTTAACAGAGAACGGGATATTTTTAAATAAACAATCTCCATTTATTTCTGATACACATCTCCTGGATAAATTGTTATTAGAGGATAGCGCAGGGTCGTGTCGCCTTTAATAAAAAGAAGTCACTTCTGTGCTCGCGAACGGTTAATTTAGAAATTCGAAAAAGGTTGTTAAAGGTGTATGTTTGGAACACGGCGTTGTACGGGTGCGAAACATGGACAGTCGGCACCGGGGAAAAGAAAAGATTAGAAGCGTTCGAAATGTGGTGTTATAGGCGGATAATGAGGATATCGTGGGTCGAAAAGGTTAGAAATGAAGAGGTATTGGAAAGAATAGGAGAACAGAGGACTCTATGGAAGTCAATAAAAAATAGGAGAGATAGGTTGGTAGGACACCTTCTCGGGCATGAAGGTCTAGTCAGAGATATTTTAGAGGCAGAAACAGGAGTTAGGAGGGGTAGAGGTAGACCTAGATTAGATTACTGTTCGCAAATAGTTAAGGATGTGGGCTGTTCTAGTTTTAGGGAAATGCGAAGTTTAGCTCAGGATAGAAAAGAGTGGAGGTACGTGTCCAACCAGTCTTAGGACTGATGACCTTATCATGATGATGAGAGAGGCCAAAGAATTTCAAAAAAGAAAGAGAATACTAGAGTTGAACTGCAGAACAAATATTAATTGTTAAACTTATTTTGTTGAATATTATAGAATTAGGATAGAAATCGAAGTTATATGCTTTACCACATGATGCCAATTGCCCTGGTAAAAATGGAGAAAACATTGCTCTGAAGACGTCCTGAACGTGACATTTACTTCTTAGCAAAATTCTTTTCTTTACCCAATTCCATACGGTTATAAGATAATCAGGAGCACCAGCTTGGGAAACCAAAAGGAGACCGTCAGGACTAGAAACGCTCTTATTATCTTTTAAGAGTTGTCTAAATTTGCTAAACTGCCTTACGTATAATTCAAACTCATGAATCGTTTGGTAGATCCTCCTTTTAGCAAGCATACTATTTCAAAACTCGGCCAGTCGTAGATTATTATTGGAGGATTTGTTGTATTTTCTGCAATCGCTATGTGAGGAAATTGTGGATTTTTCTAAAAAACAATTTATAATAATACTGATATTCTATCCAAAGAGCAAGTATAAAGAATCCTTAGTCTGATAGACTGCCTGTATCTCTTTTTTCATATTATTCAAGAACCTTTGATGAACTTTTATATTACGAAATAAGCATTTTTTCTTAAATTACAAATTCACTTAACTGCAATAAAGCCAATTCCTCCACCAAAAGCACTTCGCCTGAACCATATACTTCTTGTAGTTGTGTTGAAAAAATGGATATAATTTCCAGAAGCAAAAATAACCGTTTCTTCATCGGCAACAGCTAAGTTATAATATCTTCTGCAGTCGTATCCATAGGAATGACTTACTCATCATTAAGGATATATAAGTATCTATTTGTCAGTAAAAGCTCTTAAAGAATTTTTGGTGAAGATTGAAACGATATTAAGTTATCTAAGGATACTTAAACTCAAATATGTTGCCAGGAATCGTTCCCATTTCACTCAGGAAGTAATTCGAAATAAAATCATCGGAATTGTAATAAATCTCTTCCTCTTCCTCAACTTCTTCGCCCTCCTCTTCACCCTCCCCTTCATGGTAGTAATCAGTATCAGTATCAAGAAAAGTACTTTCAGGGTGAGACATGCTGTATGAATAAGTAATATACAGCAATAAATTAGACACTGACGCTGTCAAAAAGGTAAATGAACATGCATTTGACTGTTTGTTCGACAAAGGGTTGCTATGCTACTTTTTCTGATTTGTTATGGGTTGTAAGAGTATACATATTACAGTAGAACTGTAGTTTTCAATTTATCATTGCATTAGGTTTTTTGTTTGTTTTTCAATGGCTTCGTTATATTGAAAGAAGAGACTGTAAGAATTTTAATTAGAATTATGACTAGCATAACGCACTAATTAAATACGGACTTGAAAATAGGTCATCTCTTTCATTTCACATATATGGAGTTAATACATGCTATGAGGTAATCTTCCTCACACGATAATTGCAGAAAATTAGAAGATATATCACAACTTACTTACATCTGTACCCTAGCAATAAACAGCAAAATAAAATAGAAAATGTTTCTGTTACATTGTTTTGGTGAATTATATTTCAATGGTTTAATGTAGTTTTAACCATGATTACAATTATTGGATATGAAAAAGTAGAGTGGTGTTTTGATCAGGTCCCCGCTTTATTGTAACAAATGGGTACTTCGCAATGAGGTTTCTTAAAGATTAGATAATATTTTCTTCATTAAGTACTTGTCGTTTAAACACTTGGAATTAGTATATACAGTGTGACCCAAAACTAAAAACTTAGCCTTATGAAGTCCCTAATACAGTCAAAATTTGAATAATCGCATAGGGTCTTTACGAATAGAATCGTAAGAAAAAACAAGAGAACTCAGAAATGCTGTACGTAGGACTAGATTCTGGAGGATAATAATAGCACTGGTCATTACTAATTTTATTGTCAACAATATTTGAGCCATTTGTAGGTAATTTCGTAGTTCTAATTACGAATATGAAGTTCATTTTGATTTGACTCTATTTTTGGAAATAATTAGCTAATTATTATAAAACAAAAAAATCAAAGTTAATTAATAGAGCGGTGATGCCCGTTAGCAAATTTCGCTAAAACTGACAATGTTTTAGGAAAATATACACGGTAAATCAATAACACCCATAATGATGTTTTATTTGCTATAATAACAAAGATCAGTAGTCTAATTTAGCAAATTACAACTAATTGAAGGCTCCTTCATACCCTGGTGGTATATTTCTCCTTGTTCCTTACTTAAGTCTACAAGATTGTCGGTAAATTTATCAAAGTGTCTATGAAAGAAGTTTATTATCATGTGTTGCAACAGTTTCTCATAATTGTCCTCTTTGTTTTTACCCAAGAAGTTCTTAACGATCGAGACAAATATATACCAAGCAGCAGCTTCAACAATCCTCATGTGGTTTGTGAAATTTGAATCCTTAATATCCAAAATTGTTATGGAAAATGACCCTCTATCAAACTCTCTCAAACTCTGGATTTTGGTAGATGGTCTCTTTACACACACCTCAGAGTACACCAACATTCCCCATAAGTACAGTATAACGTTGAGGTGTACTACATTTTTGCAGAGTTCATTACGATCCCTGGTCCAAAACCATGACACATCCATAATGCAATACTCATATGTATAATACATCAACCTGTATTCTTACACATATGTATACAGTTGAATGTATTCAACACGTATAATAGATATAATTGTACCTTGGAAGTCCTTACGGAAAAATGCAATTTTAAGGAATTATATCTCAAAAAGATGAACTTTTACGACTTAGCGCCCATTAAGACTTTTGATCTGAGACGTCGAGAATTAACAAAAGTTTCAGAGTTTGACAGAGGGTCATTTAGCGGAATCCCGCTTTTATCTTGTTCATACTTAGCCCAGGAAACAATCTACAATTATATTTGAAACAATCGTCATCTTTCGTCAAAGTCTTAACAAATTGTTTCATGAGTCCTAATTTGATGTAAAGCGGTGGGATAATGATTTTTACCGATTCACTAATTGTTCGTTTAGAATAAATCCCATTACAATGATCTTGCTTCACCCTACTATCTTACAAGCATGTACGATGAATTGGGGTGTTTGATGTACCCACGTTGCTGACCAAGCAAGAAGTTCACCATTTTCTGATCCACACAAAGAGAAAACTAACGCTCATCACAGCAGGGTTTCTTCAATAGTAAAATTGTTTCCATATTCTTCTTTTATGTTTTGTTGAGTGGGTGATGAAAATCGAATCATATCGATTTCCACTGTGCATCAAAACACTTCTACTGGAACGAAGTCCGGGAATATTGTTGCAATAAACAAGTTCCTCATCTTCGTTGAAGTAAAGAAGTTCCACGTCCGTTAGGTTCTACTTTTACACCCGACTTTATACAGTTCTTTTCTTTTGATCTCTTATAAAAAGCACCCTATATTTCTTAAAAACTAGAGCCAGTTTAGAAAAACTAATTTTATTTTGTAATTCAGCAGATCTGAATTTCAAAATTTTGTTGGACTGTAATTAGTTAGAGAGAAGGTAGTTGCTGCTTAGTTTGGATAAGAAGGCAAGTTAAATTGAGGAAATGCTTTTACCATGTTCGTCAATTTTACAAATAATTACATTAATTATTATCTTGATAAACACCCTGAGGGGTCTATGGACCCTAGGCTAAGAAATCCTGCTTCATAATTGAAAAAGGTTTTTTCATATTTTCTGGACCCTATACATATTTATAAATATTCTACTGTTAGCAACATTAGGAATTGTTATGTATTTACGACTGTACTTTATTCTACTGTAACTGAACATTGTACGTGCCGGTAGCATTCAAATACAGTAATAAAACTTGTGGTAGCAGTTTCACTATAAATGTTTGCCCACACCTAATTTAAGCGACAATGCCATGTGCTTGAATACTTCCTTCCTTTCTCGATGTATGTTATTACTTCTTTGCAGATTGGCATAAATAATAATGTCGGCGTTTGAAATTGTCATGTCGGGATTTAAAAACATAGCATAAATAGGATTAAACCATTTATTTAATTTAAACGAACTGTGTAGGTGACCTTAACAACACTCTGTATCTATAATGTATGCAGTTCCTACATTTAGCCTTAATGTTTTACATTTGTTTATCATTGAGCATCATCATCGTCATCGCCATTTATATAAATAGTGTACTAATTGCTGTAGTAGGTATGTTTGTAATGAATTTTTTTGCAGCTATTTCCTATGATGATAGGACTTAATTAACTAACTGTTAAAACGTCTAATTAAAGACTGGAAGAAACTAATTTTATGTAATTTTCGATATTGTTTAATCGCAATTTGTATTAAAAAATTGCGATCATATATTATTATAACATAGAACGAATACTTCGAATGTTTCTATTGCATGCTGTTTTTTTATTCTCTTTATGATTCTAACTCCTATTTATTTTTGTTTCAGAAGGTAATGAACTTCTCAAATGTGGTGTTTTCGGAAACAAAAATAAGGTATGGTTATTCGTTTATGTGAGTAAAAACAAGACTGATTAAATAGAAAAATGGGTCAACGGGATCTTAAATTATTATTAGAATTTAATTTTTTCTCTCTTATAGTACTTCCCCTAAGTTTAGTGTTCCTCATTAGTAGATAATATTTTCTTCATTAAGTACTTGTCGTTTAAACACTTGGAATTAGTATATACAGTGTGACCCAAAACTAAAAACTTAGCCTTATGAAGTCCCTAATACAGTCAAAATTTGAATAATCGCATAGGGTCTTTACGAATAGAATCGTAAGAAAAAACAAGAGAACTCAGAAATGCTGTACGTAGGACTAGATTCTGGAGGATAATAATAGCACTGGTCATTACTAATTTTATTGTCAACAATATTTGAGCCATTTGTAGGTAATTTCGTAGTTCTAATTACGAATATGAAGTTCATTTTGATTTGACTCTATTTTTGGAAATAATTAGCTAATTATTATAAAACAAAAAAATCAAAGTTAATTAATAGAGCGGTGATGCCCGTTAGCAAATTTCGCTAAAACTGACAATGTTTTAGGAAAATATACACGGTAAATCAATAACACCCATAATGATGTTTTATTTGCTATAATAACAAAGATCAGTAGTCTAATTTAGCAAATTACAACTAATTGAAGGCTCCTTCATACCCTGGTGGTATATTTCTCCTTGNCTTTCCAGAAATGGCATTATGATTTGTAAAGCTACTGTAATTAATTATATACATTTCCAATTCATGATGTGTGAAAATGAAAAACCGATAACTGAATAGCAAATAAAAGTTAACTTGTAATGTAATTTTATGTCTATCCGTATTTGTCCGCCTTCTTGTTTTTCGGTTTAATAGCAGAGATAAAATAACAAAATAAAGGAAATTGAACTTAACTTCCAATGAACATTAAATATACATATATGTATCTATAGTTCCGTTCTAGCCGGAAGTTAACTGAACAATACACTTACGTAATCAGTTTGCAGAAAAACTGATATACAGTCACATAAGTGTATTCAATTATGTTTTCTTTTACTGCTAATTTGTAACTGATTTGAATAAATCGCTACTATTAATTCCGCCTAAGCGTTTCTAAAAACAGTAGGGATCGGTTTCGAAAGTAATTTAGGTGGATTCTAATGCTATGAGTACCTATAATTACCTAAATTGTGTATTAAAATGTCTCCTGAATCGGTTAAGGATGTATTATTACTTTATATGAATAAATTAACGGTTATTGATATGGAAGGAGCCTAAAACAGATGGCTGAGGAGGAACAAGGAAAAACAAATCCGAATCTGATGTAAAAAATGATCCACATAACGCAAATGTTGCAATCAAATTTTCATTCCGGAATTCATTTTTTTGGTACCCATGACCTTCATACAATCTTACTTTTCTTCCCTTATTTTCTAAATATAGTTTTTATACATGAATCTATACAGAACACTTAATTATTACTGGAAAGTAATGGAAATGTTACACGAAGAGAAAACTAACGAACTCCATTATCAAATTTTTTTTTATATATTTACCCGCTTTATCATAATGAACTATTTTACCCTCCCGCGTCCACTATTCCCATGTAAAATACCTCATTCAAGTTACATGGTTTGCCACCAAGTAGGTACTTACTGTGTATACCTATATGACGGATTCCAATATTATCATATTATGTTCCTAAGTAGTTAGCATTTGAATGCGGTGCATATCAAATATGGTGTACCAATTAAAGATACTAATTACCATTACCTATCCAATCTGTTGTTGTTTAAAGTGCGGTTGTGTATGTAATCTCCTTTATAAAATGACAATATGTTAGCCATCTTAATGCGATATAATAATCCGGCAGAAGCTTGGCAGAATGTATCGCCAAAGGTATAGTTAACTACTTTTGAAACCGATTGGAATCTCAGACCATCCGGTTTTGGCCTTGACCTTGCTGAAATAATCCTAATTTTGGACTTGCTGATATGGTCTCATCGGTTTTGGACTTGGTCTTGCGCGTTTAGTCTTGGTTTTCCTCATTAAATCTGATACATTTTTTTTTGATAATTCTGCTTAGCACAAATTTTTCTATTTACCGACACAATAATTATCATAAATGCTGAATTTTTTTTATCATACCAGTAAGCTTGTCATGTTTAAAAAAAAAATAGCGTCGATAGTTGTGAAAGTTATGAAAACTCGGGAACTTACCCTTCTTTCAACGCATAAATTAACCCTACCTCCAAAAAAGTAAAAATATCGAAAAAAAATAGTTTATCTCTATATTTAAACCATGTGTAATCCAGACATAGGAACAAAGAACACTTGCTCTGAGGTAGGTCTTGTAGATCCCTTTTTTTTTTAAAACGAAGGTAAAGTTCCTTTTTTTTATATATATATAGTGTTAAAATCTAGTAAAGCAAATTCAGACTTTCAAATTCAAAAAATGTTTTGTTCCAAAAAAAGAATACATTAATGTTGTTTCAAAAAATTTAAGTCATACATTCACCGGAAGTAATAATTTTTCGTTAAGTCTTGCGTACTTGGTCTTCATATTGCTAGTATAAAGACAGTCTTGGTTTTGGTCTTGCATGTTCGCAAGGCCAGGGCCAGTTTTGATTATCACAACAGGTCATGTACGACCAACAAGTCGATCCCGATGGACTAGTCGATCGTGATTTGATTGTTGGTGGATCACTACCGATAGGAGATAATCTCGATTGTTTTGTGGGATTAACGCATTTATTATTATTTAGGATCTATACAGATGTACGTAAAAAACAACAATATGTTTATAACTATATTATTCTGTTACGTCATGTAAGTAAATACTGGACGAAGTGAAGGTCATTTAATGACGTTTTGTACAAAATCCTTCTCATCATCGATTAAAAATCGATCAGATATACGATTTGAGCGTAATTGTACCTGTTTAGTGCATCTGACTCAACGATCAAGGAAAGAAATGAGTCATTTAATGGAAACATTAACTATAATATTCCTATTCATTATGTTCGCTCATTCATTCATTCACTTTAAATCGGTAACCGTGCGCGATCGCTTGGTGCCCAAGTAATAATACTTATAAAAACAGCGTAACAAAAACGATATCCTTATATTCTTCCAATTTCTTGGAGATCGACATGCGTTATCGCAACATTAAAAAAAAAGTAAACAAACATCTAGCAGCTCGGTTCCGCTTATCTTAATCTAAAACCGCGCGAGCCTGTGCCATAGCTGGTATTACGTACCAAAAGAGAGAGATTCCAATAAATGGAATGATTAATAAAATGAGTAACTAACAATGCGGGTTCTGTGGTATTAACATTGCGTATCCGGAGATTAGTTGCGTACTATTTGTGAGTGTTACCCGTGTGCAATACATATAACTAAATACGCGTTCATTAGCGTCAATTAAAACCAATTTTTAGCCATCCTGTGTGCGAGTTTAGGGTGCGTCCCCAACAACATCATTGTCAGTTATTGCACTATGTTGTTCGTGTAGTGTTTAGTGATCGAAAGAAATGACCAACGGCACGCAAATGTTGTTTGATGATGAGGATGTCCTGCATCGATCTCAGTTTTCCGAACTTGTCAGGTATGTATGCACATTAATGAAATTGTGATTAATTCTTAATGATCGCTCGTTGAGAACAATTTAGAATATCTGGGTATCATATTATAAGTATTAGGTAGTAGAATAAATTTTGAAGGAGGTAAATTTTTCACTAAAGTTGAAGATATTTTGCTTTTGGAACACAAATCTAAAAGTGTGTAGGTCTTCGCAAGAATGGTCCGAACTCATGTTTTAATGGAATTATCATGAAAAAATACTCTAATTTTAGTGAAAAGAAAAGAAAGTTTCAGATACATCGCAATAATCGCACAGAATAAAGAAAAGAAACTTCTACAGAAAAAAAAGTTAATTTCCAACTGTATTTTTGTATTTTTTGAAATAGTGTTTTCTATGAAAATATTTTACGCCTTTTCAATTTTTTAACTGATGTTTTACAAACAAACGTCCTGAAATATAAGTAATCATACTTACTTATAAAAGTAAACAAAAGTTCTTTTTTAAAAATTGTTTAAAAATTTTTATTTTAAAATCATAATTATCAGAGCTAAAAACATCCTCACTAGATATAGCAAACGTTTCCTCTAAAATTAATTAGACAATTCTATTATAAGGAACTAGTATATAGGTACTTTTGAAATTCATTATTTTTCAATTCTGAGTGGTTAGATTAAGTACGTCCTTTTGGTAGGTCACATTCCTTACTGGATGAAATAGACGAATTAATTAAACATCAAAAAAGTAAATTCATGGAAAATCTATAAAATACATATCATCATCATCATCATCATAAGGTCATTAGTTCTAAAACTGCTTGGGCACGCACCTCAACTTTTTCGTATTTTGAGCTAATCTTCGCATTTTTCTAAAATTAGAACATCCCATATTTGCAAACAGTAATCTCTAGTCCTCTTAACTCCTGTTTCTGCATCTAATATGTCTCTGACTAGACTTTCATGCTTGAGAAGTTGTCCTATCTCGCCTATTTCTTATTGACTTCCATAGAGTCCTCTGTTTTCCTATTCTTTCTAATACTTCTTCATTTCTAACCTTCTCTATTCACGGTATCCTCATCCTCCTCCTGTAACACCACATTTGGAATGCTTCTAACCTTTTCTTTTTCACCGCGCCCACCGTCCATGTTTCGCACCCGTACAACGCCGTGCTCCAAACATACAGCATTATCAATCGTTTTCGAATTTCTAAATTAACCGTTTGCGAGCACAGAAGTGACTTCTTTTTATTGAAGCCTACTCAACCCCGCGCTATCCTTTGCTTTATATCCCTACTACTCCTTTCTTCCTGACTTATCTGACTTCCTAGATACCGAAAATCAGCCACTACCTTCTAATTTTTCGTCTTCTTTTTATTCGCTCTTTCCCTACTTTTTCTTCCCTTGCATACCAGTAGTTTTATTTTACTTTTATTTACTTTAATACAATATTGTTTTGCCAATGCCGCTTCCATTTTATTTAAAGTTATCTCTAACTCCTCCTTGCTAGATGCTAATCTAAGTATACTAATCTTTTGCCCATGTATATCTATCGCTACAGTTGTACCGTCTTTAATGATGTTGATCGCTTCTTCGATGTACAAATTAAAAAGTATCGGTGACAATGTACATCCTTGTCTGACTCGCTTCCTAATATTTACTTTCTACGTTGCTGGCCCAGCTCTATAACTACCTGTTGCTCTTTATAAAATACATAGGTAATAATTGACTATAATTGACAAAAATGTATACGTGTTCGAGAAAAGCATGTTTATGTAAAGTTCGTTTGAAAATATAAAATATCCATATTGGCAAGGACTTTTATGCAAAGTTCTAATTATATCATTATCATCCTAAGGTGTTCAGCTCGAAGACTGGTGAGATACGCACTTGCAATTCTTCCTATCTTGAGCCAATCTTTGAATTTCTCGAAAACTGGAACAACCTATATTACTGTTTGTGAACTGTAATCATCTCTTGGTATACTTTTCTCCCTCTTGACTCCTGTTTCTACTTCCCAAACTAGCCCTTCATGTCTTAATCTATTTCCTATTGACTTCTAAACTACCATTGTTCTTTCTCTTTTTAATACCTTCTCATTTCTAACCTTTTCTGTTTGTGGTATTTTTAACATCCTCTTATAACACCGCATCTCCATTGCTTGTAACTGTTTCTTTGTTAAAGGTGCAAAAGCTCTCAAAACACTTCTCGTTATTATAGGCTATTGTTGAATGAACAGCTTATTTTGTCTTCCTTAAAAATTCATTAAAATTATACAAAGTAGGTACCTAACACAACATTTTTCATTTAGAGGTTCTCTTTGTTGTTCGACTCAAACTTTTTTTTATTAAATAACGCTATATTTACAACAATTAAACATATTTTAACAGGTAACAGTACATTTTGCATAAACTATATACTAAGCATATTTTGGAATTTCTTTATTAATAAGCAACTTTTTTGTGGATCTAAGTGCATGCATGGGCATAAGCCGTATCTCACATGTGCATGGCATGTGGAAGCACCAATAGTTATAAAAACACACATACAAACGGACATATACATATAATATAAGGATAATATAGTTTAGTATCATATATTTGTACTCACTTGGATGCGCCTGTGCTTTTTCTTTCTTCGTCTGTTTTTTCGTCGGCTTGTGGTTTAGTTTGATCGGTGACGTTGCCGTTGATGAGTGGAGGTCAATTTGTTGCTATTGTTTTAATTAGGAGGTTAACTACCCTAGTGTGTGAGTAATCTTTTCGTTTACCAATTGGCGCAAGTGGCCTGAATTAACATGTAACTGTTTTTGTTAAAAAAAAAACATTTCGTCACCAATATTTACTGCAATTACCCAAACTTCAAATTTTTAATTCTTATTGATCTTTTCAGCCACAAATATTTGATTATTCTGCTATTTAAAACTTTATTTCATTCATATTTTTTACCACATAGATTCTTGGACAACTAATTTAAAATAATATGAAGAAAATATCCGTTTCATGTAAACTAAGCCATATTAAATTAAAACCTAAGGACATTATGGTTTCAAAGGATTTGATGTAGCAATATAAACTTATTTTAGGTCTACGGTTGTTATAAAATGTTTATAATACAAAAACTGTCGACTTTAGATTATAGAAACGCTTTCATTGGCAATTGAACTAATATTAATAGCAAAAAAAATTATGTACTTATTTTGATTTTGATCAGAGTACGATATTCTAAACTTTCTTGCCAGAGAACTTCATTCAAATAATTTTCGGTCTTATTGTGCAATGTTTTTTTGTAAATAAAATGTTACGTTAAAACTAAATAAAGAAACAAATTCGTTGACCTGATGATGTGTAATAATCAAGAAATTTAATTTCCGTTCAGAATTAATCGCTGATAAACGTTTTGTTTCGCTAAATTAATCAATAAGTGTTTCAATACTTACCGATTAAAATTAACGATAAAATGCTACGAAAAAAGTCTATTGTGTGCTTTTATTAATTAAATGAAAAGCAGCTTAAACAACCCAGGTTACAATTTCATTTTCTAATAAGACGAACGTATAAACCATTAAACGTTAATTAATTA